AATCAACCTAGTCTGTCACCCTGTTGGAGAATGGGGAAAGTTACAAACACAGTTAGGGAGAAAAGTAGTACCCGTGTTTTTCGCATGAAGATTATACCCTTATTAGGCATTCCGATATTTTCTAAAGTGCTTTATTTATTTCGGATGCCAAATGAAGGTAGAAATGGTTAAGTATGCTTTGGGTTGTACTTGGTTTTTATTTACTTTTCTTTAATCTTTTAAAAATATATATATATTTATACTAAAAAAAAATGTTGTATTTGGTATAAGTTGGGTTGAAAAAAAAAAAAAAAAACCCGCACGTGCGGGAATACCCACCGCACATGCGGCAAAATCTCATCCCTCAACTGGTGCACATTGCTTTAAATGCAGGTGCGGCGGAAGAATGCGGCTTGCACACCGCACGTGCGGCCTGGGCCCCAAAAAAAAAAAAACCCATCGCACGTGCGGCAAAATTTCTTTCCACCAAATTGCATACTACTTTAAAAGCAAGTGCGGAAGTGTGTGCGGGGTGTGTTGCCGCACGTGCGGCGTACACTCCTGCACGTGCGGTGATTTTCTTAAAATAAAAAAATAAATCTGCATCTTTTGTTATGTTTATTTATTATTATTATTTTTTATTTATTTACTTATTTCAAAAAATAAATAAATAAATAAATTTTAAGTAAAAATAAATAAATATACTATTTTATCTCTTTATTTCTTTTTAATTTCATTAAAAAAATTAATATAAAAAAATAAAAAATCGAAATTTTATTTATTTATTTTTCTATTTTCGATTTTGAAAAAAATAATAATAATAAATAAATGAATTTGGCCTCATCAACAACAAACCCACTTCTATCACTCATACTCACAGATCTTATCTCTCTCTTTCTCTACCTCTACCTCTCATCATCTATCTCTATCTATATCTCTCTCTCTCAAGCTCACAAACCCACCAAATCATCACACATCATCATCTTCTTCTTCCTTTTTCTTTCTTCTTCTTCTTCTTCCTTCTTCCTCACCACCCCCATCTCACCGCCGACATCACTATTTCTCTCCGTCCGACGAATCTCCGGCGACCACCATTTTTTGCAGCGAATCTCCATTCTTTCTCTCTCTTTCTCTACTTTTTCAAGGTAAGCTTTACTTTTTGTTTAGATTTGTGGGCATAGGAGTAGAGAAGTAAAGTTTTGATTTTATTTTTTTGTTCAAATCTTGATCTATGTTTCATACTTAAAAAAAAAAAATCAAATATGGGCAGCAAGAAGATGACAGCTGCACGTGCGGTCCAATTCGGCGCACGTGCGGTACCTTTCAAAAAAAAATAGTAATTTATTTTAGTTCCTAGGTTGTCCATTCATTTATTTAGCTATTTAGTTATTTATTTATTTTTATTTTTATTAATTCTTTATTCTTTGTTAGTTTAATTCCTTACTTGTTAGTATAGTTTGTTTTCATTTATTTAATCAGTTGTTATTTACATAAAATGCTCATGTGTCTAGTTGATTTTATTTTAGGTTTCATATATTGTAAAAATAAATATAAAAAAAAAAAATAAATAAAATAAAAAAATTAATTCCTAGCTTTTCTAATTCACTGTATTTTCTATCTATTTATTTAGTTGTTTAGATGTAGTTTATTATCTTTGTATTACTTGTTTCATTTTGTAATAAAATAATAATAATAATAATAATGAGAACTGCATATGGAACATCAGTGGGCAGACTTGTGCTTTAATATTTTATTTGATTCTCATACTGGTTTCACGGGTATATGTGTTTATTGTTGGTGTGTGCAGGACATGAGTACACGTGTATCCGCTTGGGCCTTCAAAAAGGCCAGAGGTTCCACCTCCTCGGCGTTACCAATGCCACCGTCACCACCATCCTCGCCACCACCACCGAGTGACTTGCCACGGCCGGAATGGGCTTCACGCCCGCTTCACAAGCTCATGCAGTTCAACATTCCATATTTTCAGCGTGACCCGGCCACCTCTTGACGCTTGGGCCTTCAAAAAGGCCAGAGGTTCCACCTCCTCGGCGTTACCAATGCCACCGTCACCACCATCCTCGCCACCACCACCGAGTGACTTGCCACGGCCGGAGTGGGCTTCACGCCCGCTTCACAAGCTCACGCAGTTCAACATTCCATATTTTCAGCATTACCCGGCCACCTCTTGAGCCGTTGAGCAGCTCCAACTCCGGCAACAGTTGGGCCTTTGCAATGTGACAGCGCCAACTTATCCGCATCTGGTACGGCTTTTCTACCAGAACTTGTATGAGTCACTCACTGAGCCCGAGCTGAAGTCCACCATTGATGGCCATCTCGTCAGCATCACCAAATCCATGATTACTAATGCGTTAGGGTTCTTCGCCAAGCCAGAATACCAGCCCTTCCCAGAAGTTGAGGACCAACAATCTATACACAGTCTTATCCAACAGCACTTCCCGGGGGCCTACGGTGACACCAGTTTCTCATGCTTGCGGCAGAGCAAGCTGCCTGGCCGCTTGCTATTCATTGATTCCGTGGTCTATAAGAATGCCCTTCCACTTGGGTATAAAGCTGAGTGCCGCTTGGAGTTTGTTCGGGTTTTCCACGGTTATCAGCATGGCTATCAGGTCTCGCTTGATCATATCATCTAGATGTATGTGCGGAAATTTCTACGAGAGGTAGTTCTACCACAACCTATGCAGAACCTGACTTGGCCACTGCCATTTGCCAAGTTGTTGACACTTGTCTTTGAGCTGAACGGCCTCCCCATTGTTTTGAATGAGGAGATTGATAGAGCGTATCCGACTTTCGGCCAGCGGGAATGGCAGCATAGCATATCTCGCATCCCGCCGCAAGTTGGTGCCCCGGTTGATGAGGCCTAGGACCCCGCACATGACTACCCACCTCATCCTGTTCCCTCCGTGCCTCCCTAAGAGGACCCATTCTACATGACTCACGAGGAGTACTTACAGCTTCAGCATTCTGTGGATCAGGTCCACAGTACTCTTCATGATCACCACCAGAGTCTCATGGGGTTACGCACGGATTTTCAGGCACATCAAGACTATTCTCAGGCGGCATTCGGCCAGCTACACACCCGCCAGCTTGACATCCAGCAGTCAGTTGCATCACTGCAAACTGATTTTTATACTTATCGAGAGTCAAGCCAGCAGCGCCATGATCAACTCGACCAACGAGTTCAGAATGAAGCCTTTGAGATGCGATCTTTGATGCAATCCTTGTTTGCCCAGCATTTCCCGCCACCACCGCCACTGGATTCTCCGTAGTACATATCCAAGCATTTATTTGGCCATTGCGTACGAGTCCCGAGCTAGTACCCCCTTGTGGATCCATAGACGTTCCAAATTATATGAAAAAAAAAATTACAAGTTGTAGTTTGCATTCGCAACATGGGTTAATCAAATCCATCATATATAGCACTTGTTAGACATCTTCAACTACCACATTTCATACTGTTGCCATGTGATTATCCAAAGATGAACAACATGACACTACCATGGTAGTACATTCCCCAAGTTTGTACAATTTCTAGTCTGCACGCTTCCATATAAGCAACCAAGTTTCATTTGCTACTAATTTACGTTTGACACATCAAATAACCTATATATTGCATCAAACATTTTTGGCAAAATATAAGTAAACAAATCTAAATAAATAAATTAATGGAACACACTTTTGGAAGTAATAACCACTAATAAATGCGTGGCGAAAATATAATTGAATTGAAATCAAACATTTTTATGAATAATTTTCTACAATATAGATTAATTTCACAAAATTTAATGTCTGGACAAATTTCGTCACACAATTGATATTCTTAATGATGTCAATTTTTAGGAATGTCAAGTTATGCTTTTAGTTATATCAAATTTTGAATGTTTGGTTAAGATTTCAAAAGATATTATCCGTTTTTTTTTTCTTCAAAAAAATTAATATTAATCTGGTAAAAAAAACCCATCATTTTCTTCTTCTTTTTTCCTTCTTTGGGACTAAATTATTATTTTTTTCATTTTTTTAAATTAGTGTTTATTTTTGTCAAATTAATTTTTGTTTTCTCAATTATAAAATAGATTTTAAAAATTCAATCCAACAATTTCAGTTTTTCACCTCAAATCACCATGTGCCCGCCCCACTAATTTTTTCCACACATTTATTCTAGAGCAATTTGAGTTTTTTCACCTCAAATCACCATACGCCCGGCGCACTGATTTTTTCCCCACAAAAAACGACCACAAAATTACAACACAAATAAATGAATACGGAGATCCATAGATGGCATAAATAGAACACCAATCCAGTCAATAAATAAATTCATACTAGAATTTAAATAAATAGACCTTTTATGGAGCACCAAAAATAAATAATTATACAAAAAAACAAAAAAGTGCCTGCAAACAAAAACAAATTTGAACCTATATGTTTTACAACAAGCATAGACTCCCTGGACAACAAACAAAACGTACATGGTGATGCACCATGCATAGATTCCCTGGTCATGACAGTTTTGCATAACATAACAACCATGTGACACAACAGTGCCATCTTGTGGCTTGTACACTCCCAGACAGTACCCAAGTCCTGAACAATGGGTACCCAACAATCATAAATAAACGTCCAAACCAAAACAAACAAACAAAAAAATACGAATAGTTTCACATATGTACCACAGCAAAAAAAAAAAAAAAAAAAAAAAAAAAAAAAAAAACAAATTGTTATACAAAACAGTCAACGAAAATAGCAATTGAAAATAAATTACAGTCCCATGATAGTAAATACTAAAGTGGCAATCCAACCACAAAGGCCTAGTCCAAGTCAACAACACCATCACTCCCGAATAGCTGTGTCCCCCGTTCACAATCCCTGCGAACATTGGCCAGCATGTAGGCACACTTCTCTGTCAACCAGTTCACAATGTAATTCACAGGGAGGGCCATGATGATGTCTCGATTATCGAGTGAATCCATTATGCCACATGCGAATGAGAACAACTTACCGTCGGGCTACAATCCAGGCGTGCTCATAAGCCTTGCAAGACAGTCCCCTACAGTGTTGTCACTTTTACCAGTGACAACATATTGTGTAATTTTCAGCTCCCGGCTTTGTTTGTTGACTGCTTCCACGAGGTTGTCCATGCTACTAGCGACAGTACCAGGTGTTGGCCTCTTGCGACGTTTTGCGTTGGCTGATCCGTCCACGACTGACTTGGGGGGAGCATCATCGAAGAGAAAACTATCCACCACGTTCTCCCCGATAGTGTCATGGCCCGGCTGTGGTGGTGTGCCTGCACTAAGAGGTCCCATCCCGCTGTCCTCGTTGGCATTGGTCACAGCAACAGCATCATCGCGCACTTCAGTTGGAATCCATGCATGTTTCCCAGTCGCTGCAACACCAGAGTACACCCGCTCCATGAGGTCCAAGTGCTCTAGAGGCTTAGTGTTGAACTTAGCACATCGGTTGTTCATCTAAGATAGGAGAAAACACTTATGTAAATAAAGCCAGAAATGTATTTGCTGCCCTGAAAGTGTAGCACCAATGACAGTAAAAGAGGCTGAACACTTAAAGGGATTAAATGTTATAATTATAAAACAATAAACGTAAGCATAGAATTAAATGTACACATGGCAAGTTGTCGGTTGCCCAACATATGATAAATAAAAATTATCGCAACAACTAATGAGAATGTTACAAATAATAAAACTCATCGTGCCACAATTAGCTCGTTGGATATCAGTAGTATATTAAAGAAGTGCTTTGATTTGTAAAAGCGGTAACATGAACAACATATGGCACCACAAATCACAAATACTAGTACAACAATAATGGGAAAAATAAATTGTTGCAATACATACCGCTTGCATTTTGGCCCACCAATGGTCAGGTGCAGTGAACAGACCCGTCTCATGATCGTACCCAAACCCTATCAAGCCGTGGCTGGCATTCTCTAGCTTCTTCCATGATACCGAATCTTTCTTCAAGTTGTCAAATTTATTTTTCATTTGTTTGGCCGAATGTAGCAAGCCGGTTTTTTCCAGAAATTTGTTCGCAACATTCTTATACCCAGTCATGGACAATCCGCACGGTTATCGATTACCAACTTCCATTTTAGCAATGACGAGTTGAAGAAACAGCTTTGTATTGTCACTGTCGAATTGGCATTTGTGGATTGGTTGTTGTTGGGTTGTTGTGACAGCCTTACCTCAACTCTTGAAAGGGGTACGGGGTGGTAATCGGTTCATTGCCATAAACAGTGCGCTTGGTGTAGCAAGAGTTCGGATAAATGCAATCTTGCTTGTAAATTTAATGAAATATTAGTGTAAAAGAAAGTAGAGTACATATTCTTTTCATGCCCAAAAGTGAAATCGAAGTCTCTAGACAATTACTAAAGTAATAACAACAAATAGTACAAGGCTTTCCAAAAGACAAAGACGGTTTCTATTACACGTTGGGGAAATGTTATGTAACAGGACGTACACATAACTGACAACAAGTACATAGGTGATACAAAAAGTAACTATGCAGCAATATTATATCCATGACAATGCATCACATCCGAAACAACAACACCAAAACAACGACGCACAAAACACCGACGACCGTCCTAAGCATACGTAGACTCTGATCTATGCGCATAACATCCGCCCGTAACCCCATATCGACAACATTATGTGGGTGGTCAATACCAAATCTGGTGCTACGAAACTCGTCACACCAACCAACCCACGCAACACAGCGCTGCCGTACAAAAGTGTAGTAGATAGTTAGCATGCATACTATGCGACAGAATCACAAATGAACGACGACATGACTAAGTGCATAAGGGAGGGGCAACACAAACGTACCGTAGGACTAGGGCAAACATAGTACGCACGACCAGGGTTTTTGGCAGATCTGGATATCTTGACAACGCAATGTCCAAAGCCACATGCACACATCCTCGGTGGCTATGATGAAGTGGCAGTTGACATGGAGGACGCCATCTCTATAATCCTTTTATTTTTTTTGTACATGTTATAAATTGAACTGATATGATGTAATGTGAGGAATGAACGAGAATAACTGAAAGAATTCAAACTAAATAAGTGAAAGAATTAAAATTAGTTTTCATCTACTTTTGGACATGTTATAAATTGAACTAAATTAGTTTTTTTTTGACATGCACACATCCTCGATGGCCATGATGAAGTGGCAGTTGACATGGAGGATGCCATGTCTATAATCTTAGTAATTTTTGTGTACATGTTATAAATTGAACTAATTTGATGTAGTTTGAAGAAGTAAAGAGCAAAATGGATACAATTAAACTTTTGGAACCAAGGCAATACAATAACAAGAAACTCATGTATTGGATAGTTTTTTTTAAAGATGATGACATTTAAACCTAATAGTGTGTACAAATTACATAGGTTTGCCTTAATTAGTTGATGAGTAGGTTTTTTTTTTTTTTTGCTTTTAATTAGCCTTATGGTCAGCAACAAAAGAGAATGAATGTATCTTCTATACAAAGTTGTTGTATAAGTCAAATCCAGTTAAACTTGCACGTGTCTTTGTCTCAGGCCCATGGGTTTATCAATGCCTCACCAAGCAACATGTCTTCCCTAAAAAGTATTCCCCTATTGTCTTGGTAACTAAGTTTTTTCCATCATCTTTTCATATCTTTTATGCATGCATAACAAAGACTAGTACAATGACTAGTACAATTCTGTCAATATTTAATGTTCGACAAGTCATTGGTATGAAATATTCATTGAAATCTTATTAAGGAATCAGATTTTATATGAATTTCCACTTCGATAATATAGGATCAGTGTCACAATTGAACTAACAACACCTTTGTAGACACCCCATTTTTGACTACCTTTAAGACTTGGACGTGACTGATGGTTTACTTGGTGGAGAAAGGTGTGCAGCGGAAAGGTGCAATTTCTTCGGCAAAGAGAGAGTCAAATCTCAACTTCATACCCCTGTTTTGGACCAAAACAATCTTGATCAAAATATTTTAGTCTTAAAACCCTCTCTCTCAAAAAACGTTTTTGAAATAAAGTTCCTACGATGTTCTGACGCTCGCATTTTGTTAAAAGTTGCGCTTTTGGGTAAACCGAGCAAGGACAAAGTGGAAATGAATGAAGGAGAGATGAAATCTTTGAAAAATCTTTCAAAATACCTTACTTAGGGGTTTGAAGTTGAAGAAAAGAGGAGAAGAGGGAAGAAGTCCAGTTGGGGAAGAAAATGGGCATGAATCGTTAAGAGAGAATTGAACAGCCCTCGCCGAATCGGGCCTATTCATTCACATACTTGGAATCAAGCTATGAGGCCACCACCGTTGGAAATCTTACTCCCGGGGCCTCATTTTTCACTCAAGAATCTCCTAAATCCAATTCCGGATAGGGGAGATATGGTTGATTGAAGTAGGGCATCATTCCGGCTGGGACCGAATCTGCGCGGTTTCACGGAAACAGGCATAACTTTTTTCACAGGAAGAATTTTAATGCAAGGTTTGTGCCATTGGAAAGCTAACTTCCGGGGCTTCAATTTGGACACTTGAATGGCCGCCATTGGACTTCCCAATCACCCACCGGCCACATTTCTTCCCGGAAACCCATTTTTTTTCCTGAAAAGTAACAGGCCGGCCAGAAATTCCAGAAAATGTAGCAGGCCGGCCAGAAAAGTCAGAAAAAGTAGCCAGCCATGATCCTTGTCCCAAGTACATTCTAGTCATGTATTTTGTTTTACACTTCACCCATGTCCGAGGGTTTGGCCCTTTTGGAAGGAAACTTGGATTGTTTCCCTCCATTTTTCCCCCCCTTTTTCCCTCCTTTTTGTCTATATAACAGCAGCCCCAGCTCTGTTATGAGGGTTACAAAAAATTGCCTTAAGCCCGTTGCATTGCATCTCCCTCTCTCTACACTTCAACCCTCCAAACCTTTAAGTTCCTACACCCCTTTCTACACCACCACCTAGCACCATACCCCCAACCTCCATTGTAGCCACTTGAAGCTGTTTTCCAGAGCTAAGGAGCCACCAAACTCAAGCCAAGAGGCTGTCAAGGCATAGTCTTCAAGGGTGAGTTTCATTTTTCTCTTTTCTAGCCTTTTCTTGATTTATTTATTAGCCATACTTGCTTGCTTTTTTGGGCTCCGACCCTAACTGGAACTAGGCTTATTTTGAGCTATTTTTCATGTTTGTTTAAGGTCCTCTCACTGTTTGAGGCCTCCTTGTTGCACTTGCTTCATTACCCCTTTTGTATGCCTATTCCTTGTGTAGTATTTTTGGCTTACGTGTAGACTGTTTTGAGGCATATCATAAACTGTAAAGTTGCTTATTTTGAGCCCTTCTTCAACATTGTTGAAGGGATTATCACTGTTTGAGGCTTCTATCTTCCACTTTCCTTTATATCCCTTTTTTGGCTCCATTTTTGCATGATTTGTTTGCCTCTTATGCTTCGGTTTTTGGGCTCTGGTCCGAACTAAAAATGACCTTATTTTGACCCCCTCTTAATGTTTCATTAAGGGTCTTTCACTGTTTGAGGTATCCTTTTGGTACTTTGTGTTATAGCTCTCTTTTTGGCCTTGTTTTGCATGGTATTTTGAGCATGCTTTTGTACTGTTTTTGGCTCGGTCATAAACTGTAAAAGGTCATATTTTGGGCCCCTCTTCAACATTTTTGAAGGGCTCTCATCTGTTTAGAGCCATCAGCTGCCACTTGCTTCATTACCTCTCTTTTGGCTCCATTTTTGCATGCTAGCTTAGCCCCATTTGTGTTCACTGTTTGGCCTTGATTAAAACTGTGAACATGCTTTTTTTGGGGCTGCCTTGAATCTTTCTTCATACTTCATGTACAAATAATGCATGCTTGATGTAGCTACAAGCCATTTCATGTGCTTAATCTTGCATTTCGGGACCATTTCATGCATTGGGTGCTATATTGTCATGATTCGGGGCTGTTTCGGGTCATATTTTAGCGCTGAAATTTGCATGTTTTCATATCATATTTCATGCCTTGCCATGTCTTGTTAGAATGGCATTTGGTGCCTTAGGGTCGGTCCTTGGTTTGCGTACACATGTGCACGCATCTCGAGTGTCTCATTTTCATCTCATGGCCTCTTATGCGAGTGTGGCTGATGTCCACTTGTGTTAGTGTAAGTCCATTTATGCATTGTGTATGCCATTTCATTTCATAGCATTGTGTATGCTAGGTTGTATGTTAGCACATTGTGTATGCCATGTTACCTCGTGCATTGTGTATGCCATTTCATAGCATTGTGCATGCTAGGTTGTATATTAGTTGCATTCATACATGTCATGCATATTGCATTGTGCTTGGGATAGGAGTTAGCCCGAGCACGGGAAACGAGGTACATTTCGTACTCCGAGTGACGGAGCGTGTCTCAATTCCCCAGTCACCGACACTCCGGATTACCTATGATGGAGTTAGGTTTTAGTTGAGTTTTTATGTGCATTCATTTTATATTGAGTTTCACAATTCGACTCCTCGGCCATCATGCATCGAGATGCGTGATTGGTGGCACGAGGATCGAGGCATGCATACATCTGTGAAAATACATTGCGATGCCCCTCTCTTGCTCTCTGTTGCAGCAAATCAAGAATCAGCAGTCTTCCGGAGCTTGGCGTGCTTTCCAAGAATAATTCCAAAACAGAGGCTAATTGGGGCATCCCAGTGGATTTCCGCGCAAGGCAGCCCAAACATACATCATTCATCAGAGTCGAGGCAGTCCCTGGCTTGCATGCCAGTTTATAGCTTTCTTAGATTAATTTGTAAATTAATTAGGATTTTTGTATTTATTCGGGACTGTATTATTCATTCATTTGGGACTGTATATTATTTATTCAGACCCTCTGCCCGAGGGCACAACTGTAATAAGTTTCCGTGTGTGTGATGTATGTCTTCCAACCCCACGTCTTTCTCCCTTTTATTTACCAGCTTATGATGGTTAGATTAGGGCATGTTTCAATTAGCATACAGTATGATAGCATGTTTGCATTCATTCATCTGCATTGTATGCACCGGGCTCGGTGCATCATACTAACTGCATTGTATTTTCAATTTC